GGCACTAATATACTTATAAGTGAGCTCAGAGCTCATCAAAATGTTAAGCATCCAGACTTCTCACATCATTTCTGCCAAATCAATGGTTTGAAAGCAAAATTAAAGTCTCTTCTGTGTCACAAATGCTAGTGTGCATCTGAAGACTCAACTGCCTACAAACTGCCTTTAGCAATTGCACAAACCACTGTGGTGCATGGAACATTCATAAATATTCTAGCTGAAGAAAGATGGTAAATCCAAGTGTAATCAGTCCAGATTCTAGTGGACTCTATGGAAGGAAGAGTCAGGAATCCTTAAACCAAAGGAACTAATTCTCAAACTTTGAGGCAGACCTTTCTTGGGAGACACAATCTTTGCAAATGCAGTTTCCTCTCAAAATCCCTTCAGAATGCTCTAATCAAGAGTTGAAAGCAGTCTTACCACATCCCGCTGTCTGTAAAGGATGCTGCTTTGCTCCTTATACAGTAATTGTCAGAGCTAAAAGAGACAGGCTGAAGCCCCATTTGACGCATCTGTTGGACTGTATCGCCTTAAGACTGCACGCGGAGATCTAATGTTCGAATACTCTTACGTGTTAAATTCTCCATGAACATCCCAAACAAAATGGGCAGGGAGGAAACTTTACACTTCTTTCCCCAGGGCCACTGACAGAGGGGGACTGGGGGGACAAAATTTTGGGGGGGCCAAGTCACCTTGAAGCCAGCATTGTGCTGCATCTAGCCGAACATTTTCCATTTATTTTTAATGCAGTTCTGGCTTCAGCCACTAGGAGCGCAGGGAAGTCTGAGCGAAGCAGAAGGTACGCTACAATCTGCTAGACTTGCCTTTCTCCAGGACTGAAGCAAACTTGCCTAATTGATAACACTAAGCCCATCAACCAAGCCAGCACTGGAGCAAGACAAAACAGCATGCTGATAGCAGATACAGTAATTGCCAGCCTGCAGGTCATTTTCCCCAACAGTCTAGCCCAGGGGTGTTAAACATACAACCCAGAACCAGCCCGTACAGGGCTCTTATCTAGCCCACGAGCAACTGGTCATTACCTTTATTGCCAACTGACATTATGTCCCTGTATACTGTCCCAGTGCTAATAAGTAACAGGCGGTGGAAGTGGGAGGGTGGGCATTAGGGAGATACTGTAAGGAAATACTGTAAAAGCATTAATGTTTTAAACTTGCTGTATTTTGAGTAAAAAATCATATCATTAATTGGGTTTGTCTGTGTCCTTTATGAAGTTTATATCTCCCATACCTGGCATTACATTTTATTGCACACATTGCCCAGTCCAACAAAGTGACATTTATGCCAGATCTGGCCCTCATAACAAATTAGTTTGACACCTCTGGTTTAGCCTCTCTCTTCCCTTCCTTGCACCCAGCTCAGCTAAATCTTGCAAAACAGGAGTTAGGATGTTGCAGCAAGATATAACCACCTTTCCCTTAATTTCTCTCTCTTTCCCACACTTTTCTCATTCATTTCCTCTCCCTCCAGCCAATTTTTCTATGTGTGCCCCCCCCCCTTATTTTCAAGTTAGGTCTCAAGTCTTCCTCATCCCTATCCTGCTGGGCAACAAAATGTACTTACTAGTAGTATACTAGCAAACCTTTGTTAGTATTATGAACAGGAGGAGGGGAACTAATATTTCCCCGTGATCTAAGAAAGTAGTAGAAGGATGTGTCCGTCCGTTCCCCCAACACTTACATGCATGGTAATGGAACATTAATCTGTTTTAGTGGTTATACATGTGGAACAGAAGTTAGAACTCCCAGTTCAGGCACTGTGTTGTTGAAAGATCTAACAGACCTTTGTAATGTCATTAAAAATTAGACTTATAACAAATGTCATACCCAGTCTTTCTTCCTAATGGGGATCCAAAGCTACATTGTTCTCCTGTCTTTCATATAGCCTCACAATAACCCTGTGAGGTAGGTCTGGCTGAGAGTGTGTAACCCTGTAATCCTCCATGGCAGATTGGGGATCTAAGTATTAGAGAGACATGATGGGTTACTTAAAAGCTCTGTTATTACAAGTTGCTTATCGTGAAGACAACCTGGTCCAGGGTGTTCCAATTCCCTTAATTTTTGGCATTGCAACTTCCATCACCGTTTTGGAGTTGAGAGCCAGTTTTCAAACATATAGCATTATTTTCTAAGTTATGTCTGCCAAAAACAGAGAGCCAGTTTACATAAGAACATAAGAGACGCCAATGTTGGATCAGGCCAAAGGCCCATCCAGTCCAACACTCTGTGTCACACAGCGGCCAGAAATACCAGGTGCCATCAGGAGGTCCACCAGTGGGGCCAGAACATTAGAAGCCCTCCCACTATTGACCCCCACCCCAAGCACCAAGAAGACAAAGCATCACTTGCCCCAGAGCCCCTATCTATACCTTGTGGCTAATACCTTCGGGGTAGGGCGGGATATAAA